AAAAAAAAAAAAAAAAAAAAGCAGAGTCTAGCAAGCACAGAACCAGTACTTTCAGGCTAAGCACTGAAGTTATAAAAGATAATATATTCTCTCTGCCCTGAAGCAATCTGAAATCCAAGGGCAGTGTTTCAATTTCCCCTAAAGAATGTTATCTTGCTTTATTTTCTGGGAATTATTTTGTCTTTCCCACTTCCTCCCACCCAGGGAAGTGCTGACCCTCTTTACAATTAATTGATCTAGTAAGAGAAATATATATTTTTAAAACTCCAAAAAACACAACATGCAGTATGAAAAATACTCATATGTTCAAGGAGCAGTAACAATACAGAGAAGAGAATCCCTAACTCCACTGAAAGCTAAAAACAGTGTAAGGGAAGGCTTCTCAGAGGATAGAAAATGTGAGAGATGGGTGGATTTTCAAAGTTAAGTAGGCACTCACCAGAGGGAAAAAGGAGATTAAAGCTAGGGAAATAGAGGTAGAAAAGTACAAAGAAACAAAAAACCGTACTCTGAGATAAACAAAACAAAACAAAACAAAACCAAGATTATCCTATCTAGTTTAGGTCTCAAAATAAATAAGAACTTTGTTGATTTTTTTTTTTTAAATCACCTGCTGACTTTTGCAATGGCTAACAATGAAAAGATTTTTGTGGTTAAAATAATTATGTAAGAAAACTTCTATTTCTACAACAAACAGAAATAGTAAACTTGGGAATCTTTGCAATCTTGTGGGGGTCTTTTCCTTAAAAAAAATTTTTTTTTTTTTTTAATTTGAGGAACCAAGTCTTTTAAAGCTTGGACTTGCAAATCTTCCTTGCAAGTAAAGTTTATTTTCTTTTCTATTGCTTTGTCTCCTTTGAAAGGGCTTTCCAAGCAAAGAACCAAATGTACAAGACTACAGAGGCCTAATCAGAACATGGCATGTTTGGAACTGTAAGAATTCCACTTAATTATTTGAAATATTTGTATATAGAACAAAATGAGTGGTGAGATAAAGTTAAAAATGTAGGCTTTTTAATGAAAGGCTTTAAAAATATATTTTATTAATAAGAAATGCACATTTTAAAATCAACCAGGTCCTTAAACAGAGGTTGAATATTTTCAAGGGATTTGATGTCATTCATGTGAATATTTTAATTTTACATTTTCAATTGCACAGAAATCTAAAAACAACGAAGAGTAATTTCTTGATCACCTGGACTTCTTTGTAACCGAAGATTGCTACTTAACTTCAGTCTCTAAGTCTGCATTTGTATTTAGTATCTTGCCAGTGATTACTAAGCAACTAGAACAACAACATTCAACCCAAGACATACTGGTAAACAAGGGTGTCCTCCAATTATCCAAATGATAGTAATCACCCACCTCCTCCACCCTATACACACTGAATTATCTTAGCAGTTACAAAGGAAAAAGGTATTTTTGAAGTGATTAAGACTTAACAGAAATTTGTAAGTCTAAATTATTTAATAAATGTATGCTTTAAATGGACATTAGTAAAAAAGACATGGTACAGCATAGTACTGTAGTCTATCTGCTGTAGGTCATAAGACTATAGTAGGTACTTAATGCCTCATGAAAGCCAAATACTATCATGGAACACTATGTGAAAGACTCTCAAGAGTTACAACAGAAAAAAAGGAGGGCTGAGTACACACAGCACAGGACAGTACAGACCTGCTAAGGTCTGTACCAGTAATTAGTTCTGTATTTAACTTGAAAACAGCAATTTATTTTAAACAATTTTATTACACAAAAGTAATGTTCTAAGTTTGAATCATATATTAAAAATATTTACTTTGTAATTTTCTATTTGTTAATGTCTATGGTTTTACAGATAAATAGGGTAAAAAAAATAATAAACCAAAGTTCTTTGGCAACTAACTAAAAGGACCTTCAGAAGGTAGGCACTTTAGACTGTCAGTGTTTGGAGCACACCACTTCTTTACTTTTAGTTACTTTTTCAGGATCATGTGCTCCATTTCAAGTGACTGTTTCCAAAAAATTTAAAAAAATTTTTTTAAATGAGGCAATGAAGATTATTTTTTCAGCGAACATAGTACTATCCTAACTGTTGAGAACTTCCTTTTCCAATTCTCAATTCCTTGCAAAATATTGTCTTGTCAAAATCAATCAAGGTTCCTGAAATGGAGCCCCGAATAAGTCTTTCCCACATGCTTGCACCAAGTACAACTCTGCTTTTAGCCTCCAATCATGCCTTTTCTCCTTCCATATAATTATCTGTACAGTAATTTCAACTCCCTGACTTTATTTTAGGTTTGAAAGAAAGAGAACTATGTCCTCATGCATTTTCGTATTACAGACTATTACATAATATTTTCTTAATAAATATTTACTGCGGCATAGTAAGACCAATTTGTATTTTAGTCAATTAAAAATATACTAGACTAGTATATCCTCAGTCAGTTACTCACAATGGATACCAAATATATTTGCAATCTGTTCATAGAAACAAGATGTCAGGTTTTTTTCATGCTAAATTTCATCAATTTCTTTTAAAAGTAAAAGTAAAGCCATCTATGGTAGCTCACACTTTTAATCTTAGTACTATGGGAGGCTGAAACAGGAGGATCACAAGTTGGAGCCCAGACTAAGACCCTGTTTCAAAATAAACATTTTAAAAAAGGATCTGGGATATAGCTTAGTGAAAAATAAACTCAGATTCGATATAGATTAATCTATTCTTTCATACAACTTAAAATGATAGAAACAGTGTGAGAAAACTGTAATAGTAGGTTAGGAATTGAGGATGAGCAAAGAATAGTTGCTATGCTCAATGTAATATAGCAATATTTCTTCCCGATGTTTTTCTGCCAGTAATTTTGGTATACTTTCATGTAAATGCATCCAGATGACTGAATATTTATGTTTTACAACTGTGGTCATTAACAGTATTACTTAATGTATCTTTCATCCAAAACATAAAGCATGTTCTACAAATAAATTTAACAAAAGAATAAGCAACTTGCATTATTTACTCTAACTTATTTTAGGAAAAATAATGAAGATATGAAAAGGTCCTATTATGATTTAAATATATCAAAAGTCAAAGAACTGAATATTTCGGGAATCTCAATTAAGGATACTATGGTTAAAACTTCAGAATACTCCATAATTAAAAATTTAAAACTTACCTGTCATCCAAAACAATAATAATGTCACCATGTTTAAAGGTGAGTTCATTGTCCTCAACGGCTTCAAAATCATATAAAGCTCTCACTTTTCGTACAACTCTATTGTTTAACTGAATTTCTGCAGATGGATATAAAGATTTTGTCTCTGTGCATTGCTGTTTCTGCTCTTGCAACGATAATTCGATAGCTAGTTTGAAAAATTAAAATGCAAAAAAAAACCCAGCCAGAATTAATTTTCTTAAAAAGTTTAAAATAAAACATTAGATGACAATGTAATGCAGCAATATCTCAGTTCATAAACACTACTGTTTGCAAACAATTCAGTTTGCAAACAAAAGCATTTGGCAAAATTGTGATTCTGTTCACAAACTCCACATCGCATGTACAAACATGACCACTGTCATCTTCCTCACACAAACACAAAAGCAGCCATCTTCCCCAAAATTGTAAAACAAATTAAATTTGTAAACTGAGGCACTGCTGTATTTAATAATAAATCTAGTGGTTTATTTGTCCAAATAAATGCTAAATAGTTAACTTTCATGAGGGCAGGAAAACATGACATTTTTTAAAGTAAAATTTTGCTCATTCCTTATTATAACAGACTGTCATACAGCAGCTATTATTTTTATAGCAAACAGATTGTGACATTATAATATGGGTAGCTTTCCATATAGGACAAGCAGTGAACATATTTCTGTTCTTGACTCATAACTCTGGCATTAAAGAAAAGGTAACATGTAATCTCTTCAAAGATAGGACATTAAATATATATTACTAAAGAGGAAAATGAATTAAATTCATCTTATGTCATCTGTTTTCCTTTATTTAAAAATCCTACTAATTTCTACATATGAGATAGAACTAAAGGTATACACAGTTTTATTACAATAAAATTGTCTGGTGAGGATACTTTGAGCAATACTAAATTATAGTATTGATCATTTACCTTTAGCTATGTCTTCGTCTTCTTTATTTCTGTTCAGTGATGTTCCATTCTTGGCAGTAGCAGAGATAGTCTGTAAATGTATGAGTAAAATGAACATATCTATCCTTTCAAAGAAAATGTAAGCTCTATAATTACTTGCAGATGCTAACTTAAAAAATACTGATATAAATGAATTTCATTAAAAAGTGAAATTCTTGGGCTGGGGCTTTAGCTCAGTAGTTCTGTGGCCTGCCTTGCAAGTACAGGTCCTGAGTTTGACCCCTGGCAACAACAACAAAAAAGTGAAGTTGTTTATGACAATTTTAAGTAGCTATTTTCAAGTAGTAAAACAGTGTTTTCAAAAAATTATAAATGCACAAAAGGCATGAATTGGTTTACATTTTTGCATAAATCTAAGTATCTCACATAGACCTTGGCATACACAAGGCGCTTAAATATTTAGAGAGAATAAATATGACTTTGTTCACTGTTCAGCAGTCTAAGGTCTCTTGCTCCATGAGAGGTAACAAGCTACAGAAATGCCAAGTACAAGTCATGATCACTGAAGGGGAGAGGAGGGAAAACAGAGATAGCAGGTACAGTCTTAGGAATATGAGATATAACTGAAAGATATAGTGAACATTTAAATTTAAAATTATTATGTAAAAGACACATTACTAGTAATCCCCCATGTAACATACCCCACACACACTGCAGACACACTTATCCCACCGTTCTTGCCGCTTTCTGAAGCAGTTCTGGAGTCCTTTTTTTATCTTTAGCTGTGCTGCTGTGGCTGCCTTGATGTTCTGAACTTGATTCAAAACAGTGCTTGCTTCAGCAGCACATACACTAAAACTGAAATGATCCAAAACATTTACTTTTCACGATCATTTAAACTTTAGGGAAGAGCCACAAGTTGTATAGTGCCAGATCTGGTGAATAAGGTAGATGAGGAGACACTGTACTATTTCTACACGCCTGCCTTTCCACTGTATGGCACTTTGTAGCACCATTCACTTGGGCACTTTTGATCACACTGTGTAAAGACATTCATGAAAGATGACTTCCAGAAGTGCTCAGAAAATTTAGAACTTTACCTGTGTCTCAAAAACTCTACCTTGTTTCCTTAGGCCTGGCCAGCTATTAAATTACCTTGTCTTTAATTCATAGTCAAAATAAAAGAAAATATAGTACCTCCTTCATTATTCTCTTTCCTAGCCCACATCCTAATAGCAATTCCAAGACAAAAAGCACTGAGAGAAAGCCCGAGAAAGATCGTGTTTTTCTCTCACAGACCTAAAAAACCAGCCCACTCTGTGAGTCATTATCCCTGCCCCTCTCCGAGTCTTACTAAAACTAACCCCTATCTCTCCAGATAAATTTCTAGTTCCACCCATGTTATATGTAAAATATTCATTTTAGTCATATTCACTCTTCAACAAACAATTCTTAATCCCATGAATTTGTTCTTTTTTTTTTTTTTTGGTAGTGGGGATTGAACTTGGGCCCTTGCGTTTGTGAGCAGGGGCAAAACCACTGAGCCAAATTCCCAGCCCAACCATGACTTTGTTCATGTCATTTCTCCCCTACTACTTTTTCACTCTGCTCTATTTGGTGTTTTTTGTTTTTTGTTTTTCTGAAACAGGGTCACACTACATACTTCAGACTGGCCTTGAACTCACAGTGACTCTCCTGCCTCAGCCTCTGAGTACTGGGATTACAGACATGTACCACCAAGCCCAGCTCTTCCTTCACCCCACTCTAATAAAACACAATTGGGTCTCCAAATTCTACTTCTTCACTTCCTCCCATCCCAGTTCACAGCTCCCTCTCTTACCTTGGTAGTAAGAAAGACAGCATCTGGTGGCTGTACCCTTCATCCCTTGTCACTTATGTATTATGTCACTCTTTTAATGTCACTTAAACACACACACACACACACACACACACACACACACGGCTACCCTTTATTTGGGCTATCTTATACATGTAAGCCTTTCACATGATTCCAGACTTAAGAGTAACATTAAATAAATTATGCTGTATTCACTTTTCAAAGTTATGTTATGTGGAAGAAAAACACTACACAATTAGAATGGAGATGATCAATGATGACCAGAACCTCCCTTGCCTAGCCTTTATGTTAAGACAAATACCTTCAAAATAGCATAGGGCCAACCACCAGTCTGAATGATTTTCTTACCTGAGAACTTGCTGAAGGAAAAGTAATTCCTTCTTCTTTCATTGATTTAATAGTTGCAGATATTAGACTAAACTGAGGGTCCTTTTGAAATTCTTCTGACCATTCCACCATTAAAGATTTCAATTTTTCACATACTTTAGGATGAGCCTTTCAGTGAAAAAGAAAAGGGGGGAGGACAAAAACTTGTAGTTAAAAGAAATATTTAAATTACTTAACTGAAAAGAAAATTACAACCAAAATTCTTTTAGCACTATGAATATCAACAAAAGCCCAGCAATCCCTGGTCTATTTGAGTAATAGACAGATCCATGTTAAGATACGGTTGTTTCATGTAAATTATTATGCTAGAATATCCATTTCTAAGTATTGCTATAATGACAAATCTTTTACATTCAAAGATTATTCTTCTGTTTTCTTAATATTCTCAACATTGAGTCATCACTCAAGCGCCGGGAAGGTAGGCCGGGCCCCGATCCACCGCGGGAAGGAGAACCACGCCTGCTCCCCACCCAGCAGTCATCACTTAAGCACCGGGAAGGTAGCTGCGCGGGCGCCCCTGAACCCCCATAAGCCCCCCCCCCGCACTCTCAGACCTCCTGACTGTGCAAGTCTTTGGACCCACTCTGCAAAGACAGAGGTGGTCATCAAGGGTATTTTTCTGAGTTCCCAACTTTGAACATCTTTAAAGAAAGGGCGTGGGAAACCTGTAATAGAACGTTGCGGAGTTCAACCATTCAGAAGGATGGGGAACTCAATCTGGGCCTTGCAGCCCGAGGTCAGTCAGCGTCATGGGGTTCAGCAATCAGCTAACTGAGATCAGGGGTCTTGCATCCTCGCTCTGTCTGAGCCATTAAATGGTAAATATACTATATTGAAAAGTTTGTTCACTGCAGACATGTTCTGGACTGCTTCTTGATTTCAATTTAATTCAAATGATTTAAGGGTGATAGACTAGTGACTACCACAGGTGGTCAGTGTCCAAGTTGTGCTTGATCTTAATGTGTTGCTGATTGTATCAGTTGGGGTAAAGCATTGCCGTTGATTTGATGAGCTGTTTTCTCTGATGTTATGAAGATGAGAATGTCTGTGGGTCGTTAGAGACACAGAAGCTAGGGTGCAACTATATCAGGAAGATTTGGGTGATAATCCAGAGATTAAACCAAGGACAGTCCGACAACAAAAATTAAAATGAGAAAACACTTAAGCAAGACACAAGGACAGACTTCCAGTTCACCAATGGCAAACAGTAGGGCAAATGAGGATGAAAAGGCCGATAGTGAACCACCAGGACACCCTGAACTCAAAGCACAGGAAGTAACAAAACAGATCAATCAGGCTCTAGAAAAATTCAAAACAGAAATAATTTCCCAGATAACCATAGAGATAGTGAGCAAAATGGAAGTCGTGATTCGAGACTCTAGAGCAGAAACTGACAAAAAAATAGATGAGCTCAGGACCATGATAGAAGCCATGAAGGCCCAGCATAAGAAAGAAATGGAAAAAATAAACGCCCAACATAGGAAAGAAATGGAATCCATAAAACAGATTCAAACAGATATCCAGGAGATTAAACACTCTATTGAAAGTGTACGCAACAGAATAAAAGAATGCGAAGATAGGCTCTCAGATATAGAAGATAAGATTGCAGTCAGTGACCATGAAAAGAGAGGTCTCTTAAAAACAGTAAGAGATCATGAGAAATCGATCCAACAACTCCTAGATGATGCAAAGAAGAATAACATAAGACTGATAGGAATACATGAAGTAGCAGGAGAAAATACAAATGACTTAAAAAAGCTGTTTGCAGAATTAATGACAGAAAACTTCCCAAACAGAGGGGAAGAATTTGACATTCAGATAACTGAGGCATATAGGACCCCAACTAGCTACAATAAAAAAAAATCTACACCTAGACATATAATAATCAAGATCCCAGAAACCCAACAGAAGAACAAAATACTACAAGCAGTAAGAGAAAAGAAACAAATCACATACAAAGGAAAGCCCATCAGAATCACAGCAGACTTTTCAACACAAACCCTTGGGGCAAGGAGAGCCTGGAATGAGATATTTCAAGTACTAAAAGAGAACAACCTCCAACCTAGACTGATGTATCCAGCAAAACTCTCTTTCAAAATGGATGGGGAAATAAGACACTTCCACGACAAAGAACACCTGAGAAACTACATGAATACCAAACCAGCACTACAAGCAATTCTAAACAAGATCCTAGAAAAAGACAATGAAGGCAACAACACCATGAGGCCCAACAGAGCAAATCAAATAGGCAAGGCAAGAAATTAAAAGGAGAAGGTGAAAAAGTAAAAAGAGTCAACAAAAGGCCAATAACATGTCAATAATAAGTCAGTACATATCAGTTATAACCAGCAATGTCAATGGCCTCAACTCACCAATCAAGAGAAATAGACTGGCAAAATGGAATAAGAAGCAAAATCCAATAATATGTTGTATACAAGAAACACACCTAGTGCAAAAAGAAGCCCATAGACTGAAAGTGAAAAGATAGAAAACAATTCTCCATGTGACAGGAGCCCAGAAAAAAACAGGGGTAGCAATCTTATTTGCAGACAAAGTAAATTTCAAACCAAAACTGAATCTAGTATTATTGATGTAGGACAGTACTGTATCATACCTCTATGAATGTAAAATATCTAGTACCTGCTTTATGATACATAGTAGGGACCGTGCTTTATCAGAGCTACATTTAATGATATTACTCTAGAATGTTCTCTTTCCAGATGATGATTAAGAGGCTAATAGAAAAAATGGTGCCAGGTACCACAACAGCAACAGAACTTTGCTGTTGTCTGGATATTATTCTTTTCTTTTTTTTTTTTTTTTTTTAATGGAATGTGCTGAATGTCTATAATTTTGTTCAGATGACTGCAGAACCTGGAAAAGCTGTTGCTGCTATCGATGCATAACATACTATTATTAGTCTTTATACACACACACACACACACACACACACACACACACAAACACTTATATATATAAAATGAATTTTGGGAAACTTTAACCGTGCTGCCAACTTTGGAAAAAGTCATCCCAATTTACTGTGTTGACTTGGCATTGTACAGAAATGGACAACCATATTGGTCTAGAAATGTTAATTTATTTTTATTTTTGTTTTTTATTTTTTCCATGTGTACAGGGGTAACACATCGTACTAAATATGTAAGGTCATATCTACGTGGGTTTGATTACAGAAACTAATAAAGTATTCTCTAAATAATGAAAAAAAGAATAAGATAAGACTATAAGAGCGAGAAGCAATTTAAATATGTTCAGGGACCATTTTCATCTCCAGAATTAAGGATTATTTTGATGTTACATCATTGCCTTTTCTCTTTTACTTTCCTTTTTAGTTTTATTTTAGGATTCCCTATTTTTAATGTTCATACAGAGATTTCTTTAACTGAAATACCGAATAGTTTCTTTGGTGTGAAAAACTACAATAGTACACAGGATCCTAATGAGATAATTAATAATGTGAAATAGGAAGTAAAGGGCTAAAGGTGTAAGGAAAGTGGGAAGGGTGGGGGAAAGGTAATAAGGGAGAGGAAAAAAATATGAGAAACTGAAAAAATGGAAATAAAGTGTTTGTAAATGGGGAGGGGAGGAGGGGGTGAAGGGAGGGCAGGGACAAGGGGAAAAATGAGAATCAAGACCTATTATGTAAAGGTACAGAATCCCAGTGATGAATGTAATTGTATTGTATACCTAGATTGTACCAATAACCTCAATAAAAAGAAAAAAAAATATTCTCAATATTAATAAGAAGTTTATATCAACTTTACTGAAATTCTGGAATTTTGCCACTAATAGTATAAGTATGGTGCTTTTATAATTTCTGTCTCAAAGAAATATGACAAACCTATGATGCCCCCGCCAAGTAAAGGTCTCCTTTACTCACCAAATGTAATGGGGTCAATATAGAATGGCAGTTACAGAAACTGGAGTCTCAAGTCACAGAAATCTAGATCTGAATCTCAGCTATAACACCTTACTAGCTCCATGACCTTGGAAAAAAACATTTTAACAAACAATTCTCTACACCTCAGTTTCTGTACAAATGGGACAATCTATATAAAATGATTAAAGAAATGACTTACTAACACTCAATAAAGATTAGCACTTATTAACAGTATATATACTTTGGAGAGGAAAAACTGCCTTTGGTACTATACATTTTTAAAAATCAAATTTCAGAACAAGAAGTTTAAATCATTTTGACTTATCTAAAATTTCACTTTTATTATACATAATTTACTTTTTTTCCTCATGAGTTTATTGGTACATTTTAGGTATACAGTACAGTTACATTCATTATTGAGATCTTGTACCTTTACATGACAGGTCTTGGTTCTCATTTTTTCCTCCTTGTCCCTGCCCTCCCTTCACTCCCTCCCCCTTTACAAACACTTCATTTCCATTTTTTCATTTTCTCATATTTTTTCTTTTCCTTTATTAGCTTTCCCCTACCCTTCCCACTTTCCCTACACCTTTGGCCCCTTTCTTCCTATTTCACATTGTCAATTATATCATTAGGATCTTATGTACTATTATAGTTTATTCATAATTTAAATGATGCACAATATATGTTTTTTTAAATGACTCAAATTTCTTAACTTTCTTCTCTTTTTAAAACTCACCTTATTTTTTATCACAGTACGTACTTCTGTTGCAAAATTACGGGAACATACTTCTAAATGAAATATCTTTCCACAGTTAGCCACACAAGCCCCAAGAAGCTATTAATGAAAATAAAAGTTAATATACAAATGTTGAAATATTACCTTACTTAATAAATTAAATGCACTTTTAAAAACTGCGTCAAATAGACTTTTACTCACAGTTAATGCTTGGAGAGCAACATGAGGAACCTTATGATTTACCCTTTTCATTATGGCTTTTAGGCAATCTTTTGCTCTAAGAAAAAAATGCATATAGTTAAGTATTTTTCTTATAATATCAGCTCAAACATTTAAAATATAAGGTATTTCCTAACCAAATAACTTTAAAAATAAAATCCTAGAAACTCTGCATTGTCAAGGAATGTCTGTAAAATTTTTCAGAACCTTTTGTTCATAAACTCAAACTTTAAAAATAATTGTTGTAATCATTACGTACACCAAAATAAGGACATATCTCATAGAAAGTGAACACAAAAGAACAACTACAAGAGAACAACTACATCATATAAACTTATCCTCTCATTCTCTTCTTATAAAGAATTGGCTAGGGTCAGGCATGGTGGCTCACATCGGTAATCCCAGCACTTGGGAGGCTGAGGCAGGAGGATTGCTATGAGTTCAAGACCAGCCTGGACTACATAGTGAGTTCCAGGTCAGTGTCAACTACATAGTGAGACCCTGCCTCAAAAAACCAAAAAAAAAAAAAAAAGAACTGGCTAAGTAAGCCTAAGCCTAGAAGATTCACATATAAACATATGAATACACTATGAAAATCTGAGTGTTAAAACAATGCTTTCACCACTTTCTTAACTTTTAGAATATAATCAGTTCAGCTTAACTGCTGCATCCTCCTCAAAAACGTTCACTTTTTTCATTATGCTATCTATTGTATTTACCTAAAAAGAAAGTTTCTCATACATGTATAAGTCACAGGGAAATGCCCAAACAGCTAATCTACTCATTGTTAACACTTGTCCCTATTGTGTCAAGCCTTTAATTATTTATGTTAATATAGCTCAGGTTTACAGATGAACTCTCATTTCTTCTTTCAGGATAAGATTTGTATCATAAACCCAACCTATGGGCTCTGTTTACTTTTATCTCCCAAAATTAGACAGTTAAGTAATTAGCTTAAATAATAGTTTAGTTAAATAAATAGTTTGGTTAAAACCAGGACTTCAGTGTCCTTTCAAATTTATATAAAGAAGCCTGGTGTGGTGACATATGCCTGTAATCCCAGCACTTGGGAGGCTGAGGCAGAAGGATCACTGTGAGTTCGAGACCAGCCTGGGCTACATAGTGAGTTCCAGGTCAGTCTCAACTACATAGTGAGACCCTGTCTCAAAAAACAAAAAACAAAAAACAAAACAAAGTTACACAGAGAAAAAGACGATGTGAGTTAAGAAAGCTGCTAAATATTGACTGGGTATCATACCCATTAGGAGTGCTTCCAACTTTGTCACATATGTCCATAATTAGACTCCAATCTTCTGTGGTATTGTATTCATTTGTAGCTTTTTCTGTAACATACAAAAAAAAAAAAAAGGATTATGTTTATAAAACACTAAAACCAAATAAAGACACAAAAAGGATTTTGGACTAAAAAATAAAATAAAAATAAAAAAGAAACTCACTTTCTTTCTTGCCAAAGATAAAAGAACTACAGATAAACTTCAGAATACCGTGTATTTTTACTAACTTCAATTTTAAAGTGTAAAATTAAATGAACTGAACTCCACAGAATGCCTTTTAAACAATGAATTATCAATAATCCTATCAAATTCTTATCTGGAAGATAGCTTTAAAGATGCATCACTATATAAAGGAATAGGCATTAAACTGTCCACTGAATCATTTTAACAACAAAAGGAAATCACATTAATAAAATGCAGTAAATTCACACAATGGAATATGAAAAATGATATACCAAACTAAATATACAAAAACATGAATCTCAAGATATAATGAGTTTTAAAAAAGCTAATGGCTTAAGAATTTATAGCATGTACATGAACTTTAACAGCTTTACTGAGCTATAGTTCACATGATAATACATAACTGATGCATTTAACAGCTCAATGTTTTTAGCACATTCACAGATTTGTACAGTCACCATGTTAAAACATTTCATCCTTCCAGAAAGAAATCTATGTTCATTAATAGCTGCTGTCTATTCTCCCCCACATCAGCTTTCCATCTCTATGCATTTGCCTAATCTGGACTTTTCATGTGAACAGTATCAGATTTATGTGTGTGTATGACTGGCTTGTTATTTAGCATACTATTTTCAAAGTCCATCAGTGTTGCAGCATGTGTTGGTACTTCATTTAATTACTGAGTAATATTCCACTGAGTAGATATCCACATTTTATTCATCTGTACATCACCTTATAAACATCTGAGTTTCCTTTATTTAATGTTCTGGCTAATAAAAATACATATCACTGCTATGAACATTCATGTATAGTTTCTGTATGAATATATTTTTTTCCTCATTGATATATAGCTAACAGAATTGCTGGGTCATATTATGATTCTATGTTTAATTTTTTAGGATATGGCAGTTTTCAAGAGTGGTTACAATATTTTACATCCCACCAGAAATATATGAATATTTTACCTAAAGCTTTAAAACATTTTAAACATATTTTTAAGGATATATACATTGTATCAAACATGTATAAATTATAAATGTTAAGCCAGAGGTGGAGGGACATACAGCTGAGACTTCTAATATACTTGTATACTGAGTATACGGAAGTTATTTTATTCTCAGTATCTTTCTTGTTGTCTAAAATAGTTCACGGCTGTTGGGGATTTAGCTCAGTGGTTCTGCCACCTGCCTCGCAATCACAAGGACTCGAGTTTGATCCCTGGTACCAAAAAAAAAAAAAAAGCCCTTCAGAGTATTCGCAAGGGTACAATAAAACAGTTCAGGACTAAAATAAAAATGAAACCGTAAATGGTTAAAAAACATGATCAGAATAGCTGAATCATATATGGTTTTATATATTTTCAATATAAAGGATACATACAATTTCTTCCTGCTAGTATAAAGGGGTTAAGATACAAAAAGCAGCATTTTATGGAGCTGGGAGCATAGAAGAACTCAGTGGTAGAGCACTTGCTTAGCATATGTGTGGTCCTGGGCTTCATCTCTAAGACCACACAAAAGTAGAAAAGGAAACATTTTACGCCGTTTTCCCTTTAATAAATACATTATCCTATTATTCCAATACAGCAACCCCCCCCCACAAACATATATATGATAGGAGATATCTCAGTTACAAGCAGAAAGGATAGTATGAATCTAGAGCAGCTTCCTTTTTTAAGATAAGGATTAACTTTTTCTACCATTATTTTATCTTATGAAAAATAGAACAAAATTTCATAGCAAAATAAGAGAATAACAGGGCTGGGGATTTAGCTCAGTGGTTCTGCCTCCTGCCTCACAAGTGCAAGGTCCCAAGTTTAATCACTGGTACCAAAAAAAAAGAAAGAAAAGAATAATAATAGTTAATACACTACATATCATGTCCAAAGTAGTTATTCAGAAACAAAAAGATTCTTACAAAGAAGAAACAATAATAGCACATAACTTTCTTTTTAATGAACAAAGAAAAACTAGCAATATACATGAAATGAGTTACCATATATAATAAATTACTTTTGAAACAGCAGAAAAGGTAATTTAGGGATTCCCTGAACTTTTCCCTACTTCCTATTTATCTACCTTCTGTTTTGCTGTTTATTTGTGTATGTGTACATATACATGTGTATTTTTTCAGTTTTTCACATTAAGAGAAATCATGCAATGTTTAAGCTCATATCTGACTTATTTCACTTAACATTGTATTTTCTTTTTTTTTTTTTTCCTTTTTTTTTTTGTGGGGATCAAACTTGGGTCCTTGCACTTTCGAGGCAGGCTCCAGATCCACTGAGGTAAATCTGCAGCCCATCATTATATTTTCAAATTGCAAGCAAAAAGAAAAAAAAAATTTTTTTTTTTTGAGAGAAGGTCTTGCTATGTAGTACAGGCAGGCCTTAAACTCAGTATGTATCCCAGGCTGACCTCAAATTCATGACGATGTTCCTGTCTCCTGTCTTCCTGCGATCTTCCTGATCTCCCCTACAAAGCTAGAATTACATGTGTTATGCTACCACACTCAAGCAAGGATTAATTTTTTAAAAGCCAAAAAATAAGAAGGTTTAAAGAAAAGTTATACTTTGCAAGCAAGAAAGAGAAAAACACCATATTCAATTAATTCCATTTAAATGCTAGAATTCACTTTTAAAAATCATGCAAATTCTAACACTACTTATAGATTCTGGAAAGCAAAAGCACATGTAATTTGCCATATGTGATAAAATGACAAACCAGAGATGTGTTTTTGCTTGTTGTAAGTTCTAGACATAAGCACCAAACTATGCAAGTAAAATATATCTACTCAGGTCCAGTGTTTCTCCGTGTACAAAGAAGACTGATTCTTTTATATGAAAAGGCACATTTGAATTTGATCATTCCCACAAGCTTGAACCATCAGTACATGCATGACTGTCTCATCAGGTGGTTTATACCATTTCTCAGGGGGTCTTGGATTATAATAATGCAAAGAAAGGCAACCCAATGTCATCATATTACAATACCTTTAGGGTGAAGGGAACAAAATATGTGAAAATAAATTTGTTGATTACGGTAATAATTCTTAATTGGTATGAACAGTATTAATTTTTATATTTAGACAGTATTCAAATTCAAACAACTAGGCCAGGAATTTAACTCAGTGGCACTGTGTCTGCCTCACAAGTGCAAGGTCCTGAATTCGATCCCCAGTACTGGAAAAAAAAAATCCAAACTGAAATAACTAGGTTCAGTCCATAACTGTACCCCAGTTTGTACTACCCAGGGCATAAGCCACCAGCTGGGACAGTCACACATGTACCACCAGTGGTTCAAACCAGCAGGAACATATTAAATCCTATAGTACCCAGGGCAAGACATGGTGAGAGGCAAACTCCAAATGGCTTGGGTAGTCCTTCCCTATGACATTGCAAGATATAGTCCTTGCACCTTCAACCTTGGGCTTGCTTTGCTCACCCATCCCAGCTTTCCTCTGATATCCCATTTCCCTGGCTTCTTCAACTTCTTGGGATCTCCTATGCACTTCTGGCTTCATTTTCACACACTACCCACTCAGAGGCAAAATGCCTGGACTTTCAGGCCTTCTTCTGAAATCTGGGTAGAGGCCTCTATGACCCCCATAATTCTTGAATTCCTCAAGCCTGTAAAACCAGCACCACATAAATGATTCCAGTGTTTGCTTACTGCTCAAGCAGTAGGTGGGCCCCCTTGAACAGTGGCTACAGAGATCTCTGAGTGCTTGAATAGCTGAGCACTGTGAACAGAGCACAAGGAACAGACCTCCAGCAACCAAATTCTCTACATAGCCCTTCTTAACCTTGATGCCCTAGGGCTGACTTCTGAAATCAAACCCTTAGGTTTTAACTTTTGAACCTGTGATGGATGGGGCCCTGCAGATTTCTGACATGTCCTGAAGCCATTTTTTCTATTGCCCCTCTGTTCCATCTTTGCAGGACCTGTCTGGTGAAACAGAAGTCTTTATTTATTTATGGGGGGGCTTTACTTTATTGGTACATTTTAGATATACATAATGATAATATTCATCATTGGGGAATTTGTACCTGTACATGATATATCTCGGGTTTTTTCTCATTCACCTCCCCACTCAACCCCTCTTCCCTTCCTTAAAGCTTTACAAAAGTTATGTCTCCATTTTTTCCATTTTTTTTTATTTTTATTTTTTTATTTGCCCTTCCTTCCTTTACCCCTCCGACCTCCCCGTTTTCCTTCCTACTTGAACATTTTTCTTCCCATTTCCCAAAATCTATTTTACATTTTGGTCCTTATTTGCACTTTCAGTTTTACACCTAAAACAATGCAGTATTTAAACGTGTGTATCCAATTCATTTCACTGAGTGTGGTCTCAATGAAGAGAGGGTAGGTAGAACTCTTGAAGACAATGGTGTAGGAAAAGATTTTATGAACAAAACCTCAGTTGCACATGAACTAGCACAACCAATCAACAAACAATCCTTTAATAAGGATCTCTTATTAAAAAGCTTCTGCACAGCAAGAGAAACCACCAACAGTGTGAAGAGATAACCCAAAATGTAGGAAAAGATTTTTATCAGCTGTTCCTCAAAGGTCTACTATCTAGAATATATAAAGAACTAAAAAAAAAATCAGACCTCCCAAATTTAAAGACCTAATCCAAAAATGGGCATCTCAAATGAATAGACATTTCTCAGACAAATAAGTAGAAATATCAAATAAGCATATGAAAAAATGTTCAACATCACTGGTTATTTGAGAGATGTAAATGAAAACAATGCTGAGATTCCACCTCAGCCCAGAATGAATGGCATGAAATCAACCAATAACAAATGCTGGCGGGGCTGTGGGGAAAACAGAACCCTTCTCCACTGCTGGTGGAAGTGT